GTATACTATGCCAGCAATGACAAATTGCATTCATTGTCAAAATGAACATTTGAAAATCTATCCTAAAATACAATGCTGTCAGTGATAGGATAATATCTGTACACCTGCAAGGAAGACCAGTTAATACAACTATTATTCAAATTTACGCACCAACCACTAAGGCCAAAGATGAAGAAATTTAAGATTTTTACCAACTTCTGTAGTCTAAAATTGATCAAACATGCAATCAAGATGCATTGATAATTACTGGTGATTGGAATGTGGATATGGAAACAAAGAAGAAGGATGTGTAGTTGGAAAATCTTGCCTTGGTGACAGAAACAATATCAAAGATTGCATGACAGAATTTTGCAAGACCAACGACCTACTCATTGGAAATAACTTTTTTCAACAACATAAATGGTGACTATACACATGGAACAAGCCAGATGGAATAAACAGGAATCAAATCTACTACATCCATGGAGAGAGATGTTGGAAAAGCTCAATATCACCAGTCAGAACAAGGCCAGGGGATGACTGCAGAACAGACCACCAATTGCTCATATGCAAGTTCAAGTTGAAGCTGAAGAAAATTAAAACAAGTCCATGAAAACTAAAGTATGATCTTGAGTATATGCCACCTGAATTCAGAGACCATCTCGAGAATGGACTTGACATGTTGAACATTAATGACCAAAGACCAGATGAGCTGTGGAATGACACTAAGGACATAATACATGAAGAAAGCAAAAGGTCATTAAAGAGATAGGAAATGGATATCAGAAGAGACTCTGAAACTTGTTCTTCAATGTACAGTAACTAAAACGAATGGAAGAAATGATGAAGTAAAAGAGCTGTACAGAAGATTTGAAAGGGCAGCTCGAGAAGACAAAGTATTATAATGACACGTGCAAAGACCTGGAGATAGAAAACCAAAAGGGAACATGCTTGGCATTTTTCAAGCTGAAAGAACTGAAGAAAAAATTCAAGCCTCGAGGTGCAAAAGTGAAGGATTCTACAGGGAAAATATTAAACAATGTAGGAAGCATCAAAAGAAGATGGAGGGAATACACAGAGTCATTGCACCAAAATGAATTAGTCAATGTTCAACTATTTCAGGAGGCAGCATATGATCAGGAACCAATGGTACTGAACGAAGAGGTCCAAGCTGCACTGAAGGCACTGGCAAAAATCAAGGCTTCAGGAATTGACGAAATACCAGTTGAGATGTTTTAACAAATGGATGCCGCACTGGAAGTGCTCACTTGTCTAAGCCAAGAAATTTGGAAGACAGCTACCTGGCCCACTGACTGGAAGAGATCCATATTTACTTCTATTCCAAAGAAAGGTGATCCAACCGAATGCGGAAATTATAGAACAATATCATTAATATCACACGCAAGTAAAATTTTGCTGAAGATCACTCAAAAGCAGCTGTAGCAGTATATCAATAGGGAACTGCCAGAAATTGAAGCCAGATTCAGAAGAGGATGTGGATCCAGGGATATCACTGCTGATATCAGATGGATCCTGGCTGAAAGCGGAGAATACCAGAAAGATGTTTACCTGTGTTTTATTGACTATGCA